GTATTATTTCGGGAAGGAATGAAGGTTTTGAAAGTTTATTATTAATACGCACTAATTTTTAAATTTTAAAATGGATAGCAGATCAGTACATAACCATTACATTTACAGGTCATTCTTATATTTAAATTCAATATAGTTTTATAATGCTTTATGATTTAACTGATTTAAAAGTTAATGAACTTGACATCATCTGAAAAAGTAAAATGCTTTTTCAAGAAAGCCTTAGAAATCAAAACGAAAAATCATCTTTGTGTAGCCTTAGTAATTTAAGTACTGCTGAATTTTTAAAACTTCGATCAAAGTTTTTCTGATCGAATTCGATAAAAATTTTGAGACTCAGCCAATCAAATCAAAATATTCCAAGCTACAAATCAGATTTCAGTATGTTTTGTCACAAATCGCAAAAACCTGAATAAAAAACCTTTAATGCTCTAACGAAAATTTTTCTTTGAGCAAATTTGCTAGATAATCTGCTAGCATCCAACTCTAATATAAACGCTGACCCTAACATCAATGAACTTTTCTTTATTACAAATGTGCGCCACGCACACCAATTCTACAATTTGATTGGCTGATTTCTGACCATTTATCATGTGATTTTTTCAAATCCGATAACCTCTCAAAACCGATACAGAACCTGTCTTACCATAAATACCGGTTTTGGGAGGGTCAACAGTATTATGTTTCTGTATACGTACATATGTATACGTATCAATTTATAGAATCTATTATGCCGAAATCACTAACTTAGTCGAATTGGCCGAAAAATCATTTGGCTGATTTTATCTGGTGTTCCAGGAATTATGATAATAGCAGTAATTCGGCAGTAATAGTCACATCCAAATTTAAAGTTCATCAAAACTTATCGAATCGCAAATATTCAGTCGGTCACTTTTTGCCAGAATTGGCCAACACTGGTTGTAATTGCCGTCATTTTCTGGTATGTTTGGAATAAATCAATTGTTTGAGAACATAACAGTTCACTAATAAAAAAAAAACGCCGCAAGTATTGTTTATAGCTCGACATTCAATGTATAAGAGAGTTTAAAAAGATTTAATTCCTGGGAAACTTTGCAATGAAGACGGATTGGTGACGCCAAGGGAAAACTGGCTCCGATCATATAAACTTTATATAATCAACGTCTGGTTCCTTTGGCACCACTCAAATATCTACTAATTATTGGATCATATCGGTAAAATGAATTGAAAACAAGTTTATAGTAGAAGATCCGGTTTTATTACTTAAATGCGTTTATGATTTTATGCTTGGGTCTGTTAACCGTAGTAAGTTTTGGTTCATATATAGATAATAGGTTGTATTAATGAGTTTTGTTTTATTAATAATAAATGCCACTTTACATATTCCTATCTACTAGGCGGATTAATAGTTTTGTGGGCTAGAGATAACAAGTTTAATAATTAAAGTTAATGTGTGGAAAAGAATAAAATCGATAATTGGGTGGGTTAAGGTAATAGATTGAAATTAGGGTATAATTAGTATAAGGTGGGTAAGTTAAAGAGCATAATTTTTTTTTTCAACTTTGGCAGTCTTGCTAGTGATCCTTTATTAAGATTATTTTGTCACAGGCTGTACAAAACATTGAGCTTAATATTTAGGCCTGACATCCTGCAGTTACTTCTAAAAGCACTTATAAGTGATCTGCCACACTAGGCAAATAAATCTACAAGAGATATATTATGATAAATCAACAGAAAAACTGAAGATCACCTATTTTAGAAGGTCATATCAGACCACCACCCTATAATAGGATATTGCCAATCTGATAAAATTTTCTCGTAGGGAAGTGAGAAAAAGAAAACAATATTAACACTAATGCTAATACTAAAAAGAGGGAAGGGGAAAGGATGAGAGTAAAAAAAATCTAATAGTCACAATTATAAGCCTGTGTTAGGCTAACAAAAATTACATATTATAAGATAAAAAGCTCTGTATCTAATTCTATCCTAATAATATATCTAATCAGCACAAAAAAAAATAAAAATAGATTTTAAACTAAACTAGACTAAACTAAACAGAGTAGTTAAAAGGCATTATTAGTCTTGAAGTATTGTTTAAATGGTTTCTTTTGGTTGAGGCACATTGTTTAATTGTGTTGTTCTTCAGAAGTGCTTAGTTGTTTAATCTGAACGTCCATTGATTTCATGTTTACTAAAAGTAAACAACCCATTTTGAGAAATAATCAATCTGATTTGAAAGATAAACAATACTGACTGTTTTGGAGAATTACGTATTGATCTTTTGAAGGGAATAAGCTAAAATGTCCACTTTTTGACAAAATTTCCTTGAAAAAAGTTGTGGGTTAATGAAACTTTGTAAATTCTTCTTTGTAAGTTTATGGTTGTATAAAGACTATCTTCAGTTTTTTTAATATGCTTAGTGTTGACCTAGTTATTCTGTGTTCTCAGAATATCCTTCGTTAAAGAGCTTAAATTGATGAAATTAGAATGAAATAAATTAAGTATATAGGAAAGAATGAGTTAGTTTAGAATCAATAGTTGGGTAATTAAAGAAAAAGTTTGGTATTAGAATATAAATTAGGTAAGTTAATGAAATTAAAACAGGTTTAATAAATTAAAATTGATAGGTAGGTCAAATAGGTTCAGGTTAGCTAAAAAAATACAGTCAGCCCTCTCTAAATACACCCTCTATAAGTGCACATCCTCTCTAAATACACGTTTAGATTCTGGCCCAAATATATACTTAACCTCTATAAATGCATTTTTTCTTATTATTCTCTAAATGCACATCATTAAAGTGTGGTCCCAAAGGTGTGCACTTATAGAGGTCTGACTGTATACAGATTAGTCTGATTTTTTGTAAATTGTTAGAATTGCAATAAAATAAATAAATTATTGTTTGGCAGACAATGTTCAACATCCAAGCATTTATTTGGATCGGTATTTCAAAATTGAAATACATGTCCAATCAATATTGGAAATGTTTGTCAGACATCAGTATCTATTATATTTTGCACAGACAATGTTCAGCATTTATAGAATGGATATAGATATTGAAAAATGTTCAAAGATGTGTTTAAATAATGTGTGTTAGGCATGTACACAGTCTATTTGATTGGTTGTATATTATGAATTCTTATTGGTTAATCTAAAGTATGCTTTTATAAAAAATGATTTATATAGACTGTTAATAAAATTTTGTGATAGTGATTGTAATACAATTGTGACTATATAGAAGTAAAATAACTAGTAAAAAATTAGTTAACTGACAGATGTAATTGTATTGACTTTGTGATTATATAGAAGGTAATTAAATAGAGGATAGACTGTATTAATAGATTTAACTTTGTAATAAATTTCTTATATAATTATTGTATATATAAAATAATACTATAAAAAGGTTTTTTCACATTTAATATACAGTATTAACACTTTACTTAATTTTTTATAAAATACTCTTTTTTTTTTTTGTTTAAAATTTAAATATTTTACTTTAAATACTATATGCAAAAATAAACTTGGTTTAATATCTGAATTTATTGGATTCTTACAGCATGTCTAGAGTTTTATTAATCATTGACATTCGTAAATACGTATTAGATTGAATGTTTTTATTCTGACTTTATAATAAATATCAAGGATGATGCTGATGCTAAAATTTGGGATCTTAATAAAATCTGCCTATACCTTTTTATTATATACACTAACCCTAACTTCTAATCGAACTATGAAAAAAAGCCGAGCACCCCCAAAAAAAATTTTTAAAAATTTCCTGATGCATAATAAAACCAATCAAAATTTTAGCATCCTCACAATCAATATCATTTTTTACACTCTATATATATATTTGTTTTATAAATGCTTATTATAATTTTTTTTTTGTTTTCATCAATTTTTTGCAAGCTTCTTTTGTATTTTAAATATAACTGGTAATTTCGTCATTTACAGAATTGACCAATCAGACTCTTACAAAATAAACACGTGATCTACAAATGATCTATATAGCCAATCGGACGAACTTCCTCTTATGAGATTTAAAGTTTAAAACATCAAAGTTTGAGTCCGGTTTGAAAATAAAACCAGACTCGTCAAAAGTTTGATCCGGTCCAGTCTATGTATGGGTGCTGCCAAGAGAAAACATGCAATCGGGTTTTTAAATTTATAAGTTATTGGGCACAATCCCTAATAAGTCAGCTCGAAATCCCAATGACAGGCTTTTCCTTGGCGGTACTCATATATGGATATAAGCATCATAGGTGCGTTTAGTAAAAACCAAAATGCAGGGTTGTTATTTGAACAATGTCTAATGAAAAAATATTACTAGACTTCATATGTCTAATCAGGGATGGCATGTCACAATGTCCAATTGGTTTCTCTAATCAGCCACAATTTAACAACTTTGCAAATGCATAATTATATCTAAATCGAAAAAAACTAGATGTTATGGTGATTTAAAGTCTAGCGTCAACAAATTAAAATTCATATTTCAAAGAGTCATTTTACACAAAGCCATTTAAGGAAATGTGTAAAAAAAGTTTATAATGTTCATTTATTTTTGATCTGAGATGTTAAAAAAAGACATCCCAAAATATAATGATTATTTTACAGTGCATATTAAATGCAATCACTAAGGTGGTTCAATTTAATTTTAAGGTGAAAAGGTTTTAAAACGGAGTTCATAATATAAAAAGCTTATACGCAATGTGAAGGATGGCTTAACTAGTACAAAAAAAAAAAAAAAAAAACCAATTATCCAATATTATGGAGGATAAAAAAAAATTTTTTTTTTTTTTTGTACATTCAAACATATTCTTTTGGTAAATGTTTCCAATCGATATAATTCTACAATTGTTCAAAACAGGAAATTGAAAGTATTATTGATTGTCCACTAGGATTTCAATCCGATCCATTTCTCTCTCCTTACTATTATGGCTAGACAGATTAGTGCTCTTTTGTAATTCGCCCTGATCGACCTTAATAATCCGTGGCGACCTTCTATTATCAAGAGGAATCGGGTAATTAGAATTAGTATCCTGAATGAAAATCCCTCTTTGCCTATTATTATTGACAACTAGATTTACAGAGCCACCAGAATATACATCTGCGGATGGGCTCCTTACGGTAACTTCAGGAGAGCTGTTATTTCTGCGATATTGAGGGCGTTTTGCCTTAGGCGGTGGTGTAATGCCTGAATGTGCACTAGTTATACTACTAGTGTCAGTAATAGGTTTGAATGTTGGGCGAATTTCTACAGGCGCACTGATTTCAATTTTATCAATAGGATGCTTTCTATGATTTGAACTTTTAGCATCACGTTCAATAGAAAAAGTTCTTGCAATTTTTTTCTTAAGAGTATCAATTGAAAATATCTTTGCAATCTTTGGCTTTGTTTCTGATTGGTTATCAGGGTCAATATTTCTACTTCCACCGTAGATAGGATTTGTATGGAATGTAGTATAAGTGTCCCCAAAATTTGAAAAAGTTCTTGATTTCTTGAAATGTGGAAACTTTGATGTTTTCTTATCATTTACAATGTTAAAATCATTATCCACTTTTGGAATGTTACTATCATCAGATTTTTTTAATTTTCTATAGAAAATATCAAAATTGTTTGTAATACGTTTCTGTTTTGCTAATTGGTTCTCTAATTCAGTTATTCTTTCACAAGCTTGTTTATGCTTTTCTTTATAGGCTTTGTATCTCAGATAATAGTCTGGAGGATTTATTTCAGCCAAACGGTCTTGAACTTCTAATATAAGTTCAAGTATTGTAGTATTTTCGGTTTGAAGGGCTTTTGACCTCGCTATACTGTTAAGTTTGGAAAATGTTTTGTCCCGTGATTTATGTGATTTATGTAGCCTTTTTAGAACTTTCGACCGCTGTCGAAGGGACCATTCATCCATAAAGTTAGAACCAATTATAGTTGTTGGTAAGGCGATAGCCAAAATACCGAGAGACATGGTTAAACCAGCAATTAATTTTCCTACACTAGTAACTGGAATAACGTCACCATAACCTGTTGTAGTTATTGTAACTATTGACCACCAAAAACTGTGGATAATTGACTGAAAAGGGCTACGCTCTGGCTGCCCTTTTTCATTATAACGATACCAAGTCAAATTTTCGGTATCAAATTCACCACGTTCAGCATAATAAATAAATACTGATGATACAATTATAATGATTAACACGTATATAGCACCAATCAATAATTGATAAGAAGATCGGATAAACACTTGAGTAGAAAACTAAAATTATTGTTGCAACACAATAGAATAATCAAAATTAATAATAATTGTAATATAATAAGAGATACAAACATAAAATACGTATATTTACATTAAAACCGAAACCATTTGCAGTCCTGGAAATGCGTAATAACTTAACAACTCTAAACAACCGAAGTATTCCGACGAAACGTAAAACGGGACTCAACGGATATGATGAATACTGTAATTTAGCAATTAACATGAGAAATATCATGCAGATGGAATCAAATGAAATTATTAAGTACTTGCGTGATGATTGGTTGAAAACCCTATTTGTATGTAAATTGCTATGATTGACATTAGGTCAATGACGTTTGAGGGCTCTGAAAAGTAAAAACATGTTAAATTCGAACTTGTAATTAATAATTAAATAGGAAGAGAATACGTACGATAAAGGTATTTTAATTTATTCGATGAAGAATAAAATCGAAAAAGATATTCAGTGGTAAAGAAAGATACGAATGCAATATCCATACAATACCTAGATTACCAAAGAAGTCAATTACCGAACGACAGATTACGGGATTGATTTAAAAATACTTACCAAATTTGATCGTAATCTTTTTGACTCATTATATTAGGTTCAGAATTAATACAAAGAATAGAAATAGAAGCTAAATTAATAGTCAAAGAAAGCCAAGAATACGCCTTAGCCCAGTTTGAAATCGGAAATTCAAAGAAATAATATAACTTGTTTTGTAGAGGTGTTCTTTTTGCATCTTCTTGGCGTTTTAGAGCTTCAAATGGACCCTAAAACAAAAAATATATAATTAATAATAAACAAGTATCATGTATAGGTTTTATTTGGTATAAACACCTCGTTCTCTTCATTATCATCATCGTCTTCTGTTAAGTCATATCCGGATTGACCAATGTTGTATGGTGGGAGCGAAGGTGATGTAATATCGTCGTTTGACTTACTACTGATAAAGACAAACATCATCAGTAGCAAATCATTAAATTATGAATTCAAAAATAACTCATTACCTCGAGCGACGTATCAAACGATGGTTATCATCTTCTATTGCACTGGGTATAGGTTCACTGTATTCACTAGGAAAAACACCTATTCCACGTGATATCAGATCATTTTGAATTTTTGGTTGAAGTTTTTCGTTTTCAATAAAATTAAGGTTATTTTCGGTATTAATTAAATTATTATTCTGTGAAGGTTGCATATCTAAAAGAGCACGAAGGTCAAAAAAGAAAAAAAAAGGGATAGAAATATAAGGTTTATATATGTTATCTGTACCAGTTATGCCAATTTCCCGTGACTTCCAAATATGGGGGACGTCTAAAGCCGTGTCCAGTCACGTGTTTTTTGTTTTTAATTAAAGTTAGGGTAAGGGTCAGTTTGGGGTT